AAAAAAAAAAGTTGGCATATTGTGATTGGTTAAAATAGTTTTTTATAAGTTGTCTGAAGTTGGAATTCAGATAACAAAAAAGGGTATCTGAAATTAGAATTCCAATTCCAGTTATCTGAACTTGGAATCTCAATTTCAGACATCCGAATATCGTCTGAATTCCAACTTCCGACGAAAATCAAGTTCAGTCACAACAATACTTTCATATGTATAAACTCATTATGGGCTTTATTTTATTTCCATATTTAGAAATGTTGACAAACCAAAACGATAAGTTGCACGGGAGCTTTTATTTTAACGCTTTTCCGTTTTTAGAAATGATGGAAATGTCAATATCTTTACATTACAATATTAATGATGCGAAAATGATTCCTGAAAAGAAAACAAAATAATAATTTTAAATAGGGTACCTGTCAAAGTATAATTGGGAAGATCATGATTTCTATCGATATAATAGAAGTAAGTAATCGATTGAAATTTTCAATATGAATAGTATGAAGTTAAATTTAGTAAATGTAAGAATTGTAACCAAAAAGATTCTAGATAATTTCTATAATAAGGTAAAAAACGACATGTCGGGAGATGATCTTTTTTTTTGATCACGCTCGGTTTTCCATACATTAAACAATTGTGTATATAAATGGGATTTACAAAATAAATTAAAATTCCTTTATATAGGAAACATGGAGTTTCACATTAATTTAATTTATATGCATTGACGTTCTTTTAAACCAAATTAAGATTCGATTTGTTATCAGTTGAATTACTAAGGTGAACGGAATAAAGATGTAATGTATATCTCATGAAGTGAACAAAAAAAGTGTATAAATAACATGTATGTGCTAATTCTGAGAATTTTTTTTCCTTTACACCAACATTTCTTGTTTCTAAAGGGTGTTTTATGTGTCGATTTTCAGGTGGATTTTTTCACACAGAGAATCGAAATTTTAATCTTGGTTTTAAATCCCCTTGCACTTTATTTCTTGTGTTGGTGGTTCAAAGTTTACGGAATAAATTTATAAGTATCTTAAAATAAAAAAAAAAAATATCGTTAACGTTTTAGTCGAGAAATAATAAATTGTAAAGGAAAAAAAAAAAATTTACCTTTTTTTTCAAAGAAAAAAAAAGGGGTTCTCAACGATATCTTATTTAGAACTTGTTTTTTTTAAAAAAAAAATTATAAGAAAATCTTTTTTTTTTAAAAAATCAAAAAAAAAAAAACAAAAAAATTAATAATGGAATCTATGAAATTTACTAAATATCTACTAGTTATACAAATCTTTATTATATTAGGGATTGGAATATGTGGTAAGTCATATTTTTTCATTTTTTTTTTTAAAAAAAAAAGTTACTGATTCATTTAATTGTAATAATTATTCTAATTTCTTTGTTACTCGCTTTCTCCTCTCCGAACGAGCATAGAGGTCGTACAATTGGCGGTAATTGATAAGTCCCAAAAACCAATTATTGAACACCAAAAGGATTGGAATTATTTGATTGGTTATACAAACAGTCCATTGTAATTATTTATGTTATGTTTCGTGTTAATCCTTTTAAAATGAAAAATTAAATATTAAATATTTTGATTGTGTTTATTTTCAGAATAATTATATTGAAGATATATTATTGGATCCTTATATTAGTTTCAATTGTACTTTTAGGTAAAAAACGATTGTTTATTTATTGAAATTTTAGATTTTTACCACTAATTAAAATTACGTATGCTTTAGGTTTGTCGTTGAATTCATTCGAGAAAAAATGGAAAAATTTACAAAATTATGATGGTAAACCAAGACAAATGTGAGTAAAAGGAATAGAATGCATGAATTTTTAAAATGTGTAACGCTAATTTTTTCCTTTTTTTTTGATTCCGTCGTCGTGTAGCTTACTATTTATATTATGGAGTGTCGCAAGTAAGTGCAAGATAAATTTTGGTTGCAAAACCATTGTTATTCGTTCAATTATTTATTTTTTTTTTTTTTTCCCACTTTTCGTCTAGCTATACCTAGTGTAATTTTTTTATTCTCGACAAGCGGAGCAAGGATATGTACACCATCAGCATATTCATACCCTATAACAACAAAATTAATGGATCATTGTAACGCTTATATTATGTCGCTTTTGCTTGCTTACGTATTCATTATCACTTCAATAATTCAAGTATTATATCAATTTATTATACTTAACAATCAAAAGAAAGATATCTCAACACCAAAGTTACAAGAGCCAAAGAAATTGAAAGTCAAAAGAAAAAAACATGTTAGTAAAAGAAGAGCAAGAAGTAGTGTTGCTATCACTGAAGCTAGTATAAAATTAAGCACCGTTAATGAAGATGATGAAGAAATGAAAAGTATTAAAAGTACTAAAAGCGGAAATAGTGGAAAGGGCAGCAATAAAAGTAATAAAAGTAATAAAGATCATAATCAAATCGGAAATGACAAAAATGATGGTGATAATAATGATAATGTCGAATTTAATGATGAGAAAGAGGTTTATTCGAATGCTTAATTAAGTTTGTACAGGGGAATTTTATTTATTTTGGGTTATTCTTATTTTTTTTTTCCTTAAATTTCCCTCACGGAAATGTGAATCATAGATTTAATATCATACATTTATATAATTATTTATATAATTACTTTATATCGGTAATTAATGTAATTAATGTAAATTATACAATATTTTTTTTTACTTACTTTTTACTTTGAAAACATAATAATACGTTTTCAAAACTAAATATGATCACATTCACGTGACTTCAGACTTAAAATTAAGTATTAGTATCACGTTATACAAATGATTGGCTTGGCTACAATCAAATTACAAGATTTCTATTTTAAAAAATACAAATAATAAACTTTTGTTTTTGAATTATTAAAATTATTTTTTTTTTTTAATTATAATATTATTGATTATTAAAATATTTAAAGTAAATTATTACTATAAATTATAAAATATTAATACAGTATATATAATAATTAATACTTTTATAAAAATATTATTTATTATTCACATGACCATGATCAGCAGAGTGAACCAATAAAAAATTTTTGACTAAAAGTGGATTTCCCCCGCCTCCCAAATGTATTCCTTTGTTTCAAACATAACACCTTTATTCTTAACAAAGAAAACAGTTGTATTCATATCAAGATTGTTTTATTGTTTTAAAACATAGTTGTTAGATGAAACTCTGTGAACCAATCATAAAAAAATTGAAACGTGGCACCGGTGACAAAATATATCACGTGAATTCTGTGACGTAAATTTTACTGCACCTATTCGATGATCATTGCCGCTTTTCATCAAATCAGGGGCTTGTATTTAAAAAAGCTGTTTATTCTTTTTTTTTTTATTTATTTTTTTACGCGAACTCTCCCAGAATAAAGACGTGTCGCTTAATTGCAGGTATGTTATTGTATTATATTATTATTTTAAATTACTCGTTCAATTTATTACCCTTTTTAAATCATGTTACATATTATTATAAGAAAAAGAAAGAGTTTTGATGAACATAAATATTAAGGTTCCTAAAATATTAGAACCATAATAACATTTGATAACAAACCGTATTTCAATAACTGTGGGAATAGGTATTAATTAAATTAAACGTTACTTTTATTGCATCGTTACATCGTACTTATTGTGTTTATTATTTAAAAATGTTTTCAGGTGATGTCTAACGTGGACGGTATTCATATTTGATGGTATATAATTTCAAAATATTTAGGTATTTCTCTTTTAACCTTCAAATAAATCAAATCTAAATAATTATATTAATAACTAAACTAATTTAATCTTTAATATAATTTGTTTGCTTTGGAGATTTATTCCATCAAATCAAGTTATGCTCTTTTAAATTTCTTAAATAATGATTTAATGAGGACTTCAAGATAAGGTTCGGCATATATTCTAACAACATGGGATGGTGCAATTCGATCGAAATGTCAATCCCTTATTTTCGATTTGAACCTATCGTTATCGAAATCGAGTGGCAAGAAACAATTATGTACATTTACCTAGAATTGATGGTTTATTAAAAAGAAAGGTGGTGTTCAACGGTATTTATTTATCCTTTTGAGCAGGTTCGTCTATGTAAAATTTTTACAAATAGAAAATTGGAATTGTGGCTAATTGTTGTTTTCTCGTGATTCTCACTTGATAGATCTTTGGTATGTATTTTTTTTTTTTTTTATTTATAAAAGAAGCGAAATTTATTTTTCGAAAGTAATTATTAATAAGGTACTTATTCTGTTATTTAAGGAATGTCTCAAATAATTACCAAAGTTTCAGTCACTCGTAATGTTATCTCGTCAAGCGATTCCCTTCTTTCAGTTCCCACCTTCTTCCTCCTCCCCCCCCCCCACTCCTTCACTAATATTACATATCTACCCTCCTTCGACAGCTGTACCTTCTATCCCTCCTTCGACAGCTGTACCTTCTATCCCCCTTCGACAGCTGTACCTTCTATCCCCCTTCTACAGCTGTACCTTCAATTACCTCCCTTTCTACAGCTGTACCTTCAATTACCTCCCTTTCTACAGCTGTACCTTCTTTTATTCCCCCTTCTTCTACAGCTACTACTTCAACAGCTGTACCTTCTTTTATTCTACAGCTACTACTTCGACAGCTGTACCTTCTTTTATTCCCCCTTCTTCTACAGCTACTACTTCGACAGCTGTACCTTCAATTACCCCTCTTTCTACAGCTGTACCTTCTTTTATTCCCATTCTTCTACAGCTACTACTTCAACAGCTGTACCTTCTTCTGTCCCCCTTCTTCTACAGCTGCTACTACTTTGACAGCTGTACCTTTTTCTATCCCCCCTTCTTCTACAGCTGCTACTATTTCGACAGCTGTATCTTCTTCTATCCCCTCTTCTTCTACAGCTACTATTACTTCGACAGCTGTACCTTCTTTTATTCTCTTTTCTAAAAATTTTATCATAGCTTTCCTACTTCCCATGTTTCTTCTATTTCTTTGTGCTTTATACTTTTCAATTCTTGTATTATCTCTTTCCTAATTTCGTTCTCTTCCTCTATACCCTCTATTCTTCCTGTTCTTCTGTACCACACTCCGCCCTTTTATTAAAACTAATGGTCCTCAATTTTTCACGCATTTTATTGAAACCTCCTTTATCCCTTCCTAGTCGATGGCCAGAGCCAGTGGATCTTGGTCCTCCTGTCATATACGTTGCCATCGACTATGGTTTATGCCCATTTCCCCTCCGTTTTTAACTGGCCATCGGAATCTTGAGTTCCAAACTTCTTGTTTTTGTTTTTTAAACAAAAAAAAAAAAGTGCCGTTGAATTTATTAATGTAATTCTTCAAAGTATAAAGATATCATCAATATTGTAATCGCTATTTTGTATTTTTAAATAAATTGAGAAACTTGTTTCAAAGTTTTAACCAATAATAAATAAATAATAAATTAATATTTCAAGGTACGCATAATGTTTTCAAATGATGTGAAGTATTATATTTAAATATATCATAAAATGTACTAATGTTTAAAACTTAAATCTCGTAAACTTTTACGAACAGCGACAATAAAAACCATAAAATTCTAAAGAAAATAATGTTACTCTCGATGAAGAATGTGAGAAGCAACAAAGTTGTCATGTATAACAGCAATTAGGATATTTAACTGAAACACGGGAAAAATTCCGTGTTAAAACTTCTCATTCATTCTTCAGAGAAATTGGACATCCCACAAAATTGATAACGACTTTTGAGGTTATATGGCGTTCATGTACACCTTTCAAACTGTTAACTCGAAAATTGATGCCAGTCAAACAAGCAATGGTTAAAGTTGTTGGGATTTGATGTAGACCGAAAAATTTTCCCATTTTTTTTTTTTTTTTTTTTTTTTTAATGTCCACAGAATATTTTCGTAATGATTAGATTCTACAGATATTACAAAGCTTAAAAGTACCTTTTAATGTAGAATAAGTTTTACACTAAAATACGAATATTTGAATATTTGGAAATTTCTGTTTTAGGAACCTAACCTAAAAGAATATAATAAAAAAAATTAACGAGATAAGATATTGCGAATTATGCGTATTTTTTTTTTTTTTTTTTTTACTATATTCAAACATTGAAACAATCGGAAAATTATAAATTCCAATTTCCTTCGTCCTAATAGAAAGATTGATTAGATGTAAATGTCAATGTTTATAAAATTATTAGAAATTTTGCGAATGATGGAATTGCAAAAGACGTTGAAATTAAAAATCAAAAGAAAATGAAAAGAGTATTATTTATTAATTAATCATACATTATATTGAACCTTTTGAATTCTACTTTCAACTTATAATAATCACGTGATTTTCGTATTATCGTCGAATAATGTCTTTTTTTTAAAAAAATTAAAAATCTCTTTATAATCTCATCTAAGTCGTAATCAATTGTCAAATGAATGTGTCCTATGAAGAATTTTCACTTACAGTATTTCATGTGCATTAATTTTTATGACACGTGGGAACTTATAAAGGCTTGTAAAGCATTGTCCAATTACGAAAAATGCTTTGATTGACCAAGTTTCTTGGAGAAAGTTAAAAGTATCTGTTATACTAATAAGAAACGTTATGTGCTGAAATTCACCAATCATGTGGTGCACGCGCACATGACCGCACTACCATGCTAACCAAATTAATAAAACAAGCCAAGCAGAACAGTGGATGGTAACAATGGATGGTCTCTTTTAATAAAAAAGACATCGCATCGGTTGCATTCGTCTATAGATCATATAAGCGGACACGCAACCATATTAGCAAAATGTTCACAATTTCTATTAGCTGTGCCACGTAGAATCTTTTGAATATCGAATTCATTGCGATTATAATTTTCATATATTTCTTTATTTCCATAATCTTATATCATCTTATGGATTAAATAATTTCAAAGTCCGCAAGTCAGATGTCTGATATAATAAAACCTTACATGTGATCGATCAAAATCCAATTGTTAAAAAAAAGTTTCGTAATATTGCATACTTTCTAACGTATATAAAATACCTTTGCCTTTTGCTTACCAAAAAAAAAAAAAAGAAAAAAGATAATACTCATCTCCTCTTTTCCTAAGGCGAAATCTCAAAATCTTGCATATTTAAAACTAATATCACCACCTTACCTGATATATTGTCGACTTCTTCTTTCGAAAAAAACTTTCTTCAAAATTATCGTAGTGAAGAGTTTCTTTCCAAGGTGAAGTTTCAAGAACTTACGTATTTATACCAATATCAGCAACCAACCCACATTATTACTTAAAATATATTTTCAATACAGGTCTCTACTTCTAAAAAAAAAAAATTCTGCAAAACTTAAATATGAACAATAATCAAAGAAAGAGCGGTTCAAGACGATCTTCTAACCATGATCAAAACCGTCAATGGGCAGCCCTCCGTCGTCGCTATGACTGGAATGATTCTTACGACGGTACTGTAGCTCCCAGAGATCTTGAATTAGAAAACGACCTTTTTGGAGAAGAAAACCACATTCACACCGGAATAAATTTCGACAAATATGCAAATATTAAGGTCACCGTCAAACCCGGATGTATAACTCCAATATCTTCCGTAAGTTTGTAAAAATATTTTTGAACTTTTAGGTACAGAAATCTATTTTTCCGAAAGAATTTATAATATATCGCTTCGCTATATCATCATCTTAGTTTGACGTGGCTAGTCTTGATCCATTAATGAAAGACATTATTAGATTAGCAAGATATTCTATTCCTACTCCGGTTCAGGTACTAATATGTAATATATTAAGGTTATTCCCAGAACTTTCAATATAAAATTAACGAATATTATATCCTCAAAGAGATATTCTATACCCATTATCACTGAGGGAAGAGATCTTATGGCTTGTGCTCAAACTGGTATATATATGAATTTGTATGATTTCTTGTCGTTTATTGTCACATTAATTATTTTATTTGATAGGCTCTGGTAAAACGGCGGCATTCTTGATTCCCATTTTATCTAAACTATTTGGAAAGGCAAAAATTCTCGCCGCTCCCAGACCCCGTCCGGACGCACGTAGATTCAAAGTCGAACCTTTGGTTCTAATTCTTGGACCTACGCGAGAATTGGTCACCCAAATATTTGACGAATGTCGTCGATTTACTTATAGAAGCATGTTGAGACCATGGTTGGTTATATCTTCGAATTCAAAAGCAAATAACATTTCATCATCTTAAGCTCGATTAACATTTATTATTTCTTTAATGATTTTAAAAGCGTTGTATATGGGGGTGCTGAAATTATTCCGCAGAAGAATGAGTTGGCCAAAGGTTGCGACATTTTATCGGCGACTCCGGGTCGAATTATCGATTTATTCGAAAGGGGCTTTATTAGTCTTCGCCGAGTCAAGTAAGTTTGTAAAATTTATTGAAATCATTTACTTAATTTACTTAACTTAAAGTCTAATAAAAATTTAAAAGGTACCTTGTTCTTGATGAAGCTGATCGTATGTTGGATTTGGGGTTTGAGCCTAAAATCAGGAATATCGTACAAAAATCAGGTTCGATCCTTAACTATTTAAAAGAATTATGCTAAAATATATTCTCTAATAATTGATGATCAATTAGATTTATGTGATGAAGGAACTAGACAAACCCTCATGTATTCTGCCACATTCCCAAAGCCTGTCCGCAAACTGGCTAAAGATTTTTTATCAAAGGATTACGCATTCTTAACAGTTGGCCGAGTGGGTGGAACCACGAGCGATATCACCCAAAAGGTAGATAGAAGTTAAAGAATCATTATGTCTTTAATAAATTTGTTAATACAAATAACAATTTATATATAGGTTATATATGTTAAAGAACAAAATAAACGTGATTGTCTTGTCGAGTTATTGCTAAAACAGCCACCATCCAGAACTCTTATATTTGTTGAGACAAAGCGTGGAGCGGACTCTCTTGATAACTTTTTATACAACCGGGATTTTCCAACTACCAGTATTCATGGGGATCGTTCACAAAGAGAAAGAGAAGATGCATTAATATCCTTTAAGTAAATATCGTATATAAATGCAGTGATATTGAAAGCGTGCTAATACCTCTCTCATTTATTAGGAGTGGACGATCACCCATATTAATTGCCACCGCCGTGGCAGCTCGAGGTCTTGACATCAAAGATGTAATGCATGTCGTTAATTACGACCTTTGCAACCAAATAGATGAATACGTTCACCGTATTGGAAGGTGCATATTTATTTATTTTTTTTTTTTAAAGCCGTATATTGGTTTAAAAGAGTTTAATAATGACTTTTAAATTATTATAGAACGGCTCGAGTTGGTAATCAAGGGTTGGCCACAAGCTTTTATAACGAAAGAAATTCTATAATTGCTTACGATTTAGTTAAGATTCTGATAGAGTATAATCAGAAAGTTCCTGATTTTTTAAAGCATTATATGGATTAGGAATATGTAATTAAATATGACAATAGTTCGATATATATTTTATTATAAGATGAAGGAAGAAATTGAATTTGTTGAATTTGCATTTGTCGTAGGTATTAATTATTAAAATTATTTGAAATTCAATATTCCACGTATTTTCTTCTACCTTTAAAATTCCACGATTTTATATATGTATATGGTACCTTGGAATATTGAATTCATAAACCTATTCTGAAGAATAAAGTACAAATAAATTTCATTAACGTTAATAAAAGAAGGTGTTTCTTTGAACTTTCAAATTTAATAAAATTCTTTGATTATTTGATTACCGTGCGCATTTATCAGCATAAACCTTGTCTACTCAATGGTGAACTAAATACTAAAATATAAGAGTATATAAAATTCACATATAATTCGATCTCAGTATAAAAGATTCAAAAATTATTATAAAGTATTTATTTCAAATTTATATTCTTTATATTCTTCCGAAATTTATTCTAGCATAAAAACTGAAACAAATAATTACGTAGACTAGTATATATGGAATTACTATT